CTCTGCCTACTTGTGCTCTCTCTCTATCTCTCTGTCAAATAAATAAATAAAATCTTAAAAAAAAAAAGGAAAGAAAGCTTTTATAGAGTTTATTGTTATGCATAGCACTATTCTAGAGAAAAAATATTTAAGTTATTAAGTCTTCTAGAACTTAAGGATCTGCCTAACAGGTTTCTCAAGCCCTGGAGATAGAGCTAGAACGTCAGAATTTAATCTCTCTCAAACAGGTCATTCTTGAGTAAAGAGGGGAAGAACAGTGCTGTATAAATTGCTGCTGTGTACATAGGACTGAATTGGGAGGGTTCCAGAAGCACTGTAGTAGGAAATACAGATTTTCCTCTGACAGCTTAGTGAGAACTAGAGGTGAGGTTGAGCCGTCTGAGCACTGGATGAAGAGACTCAAGAAATATACAGTGGAGGAAAACATTTTTAACTGATGATTTAGAGTACATACAGCAGTAATTCCTTAAATTAAATCCACTTTCTAAAAATATGCCCAGATCAGGTGTTCCAGAGTTGAAAATAAGCCCTACATTTTACTACTTGTTACGTGGTATTTACATTAGATTTTTGTGACTTTTTTTCCTGTATTTACATAAACCCATCAGTAATACCATTATAACCTATCCTTTGTCAAGCTTTTCATTTCATCTTAGCTGTTTTTTTCTTTTAATTAGCATTTATATTCCATTGACGAGTAAAACCTAGGACAGCAATCATGGAGTTTTGTGACAGAACAAACTGAGGAGGTCATGGATCCCAGTTGGGCCTCTCATTTCAGCCAAATGTCCCAAGACCTGGAGCTGTTTGCCTTTGGTCACACAGTTGGCAGAGTCTTGATTATTAGTCTTTATTTACCCTTCTGCTTATCTACATATTTGGGTCTGTAAGGAATTTAAAAAATAAATAGTCATGAATAGTTGTGTTTATTTTATCCTTTGTGAATTCACAGCTGCCTTGGCAAGTTCTAGGCTAATACAAATAAAATTAACTGTCACTTAAAGGAGACAGAGAAGTCTTGAAAGAAGGGAGATAACAAGGAAGTGAAAGGGGGAGAGTCACTATAACTTTAAAATTACCAGAAGAAGGAAAATAAATAAATGACGATTTGAAAACTGTGAAACAGAGTTTAAAATCTAGAAAAAGTTTAGACTTGTTCATAGTTACTACATTTGTAGCTGAAATGGAAATCAAAACTTACATCCTCCCTATTTTTTGCTGTTACGTAATATAGGCTTTAAAGCTAAACAGGGGAGGAAAGCTGCCCTCCAAGGGTAGGCACAGTTTGTATACATTTTTAGGGGAGGGACCACCTTTCAGGCTTACAGTACAAATGTCTTACAGCACTAAACTATTGTTAAATCTCTGGGTGGAGAATTAAGCCATGTATAAACATTTGCAAGCACTCCCATTTAGATTTGTAACCTTTTATTGTGGCTTTAATTCCCCAAGGAGAGACTTGGCATTACTTGTAGTTATCTCAAAAAAAACTTAGTGTTTATTTTCGGGAAAATGATTGTAGATCCCTGATTAGAAGTGTCTTTGAACAGTGGTGTGTTTTAGATTGAAAGTACAGGACTTTGGGACACCTGGGTGGCT